CCGTACTCGTTCAAACAATTTTCAACATTGAATTTTGCATGTCCTTAAAATATGTAGAGCACAATATTACTTACTTACTGCTATACCCATAGTATTCGTCATGTACCGTATACGCGTACGTCTAGATGATTTTCAACATTGAATTCTGCATATCCATAGAGCAGCATAGAACAATTTGATTTAATTTCCTTTCACAAGAATATGTAGAGTACAATATTACTAATAATTAATTAATTTTATTAATACTCTATTATTCGGTTTGTGTTGTATACGTCCGGAGGGTTGTCAATAGTGAATTCTATATATTCTATTAAGTAACATACAGCAATTTTTGACAGTTTGTACTTGTTACACCTTTAAGAGCTTCCTGAATAGAACCTCCAGTATTGCAGAGCTTCACAACATCATTAGAATTGATCCGATTTACTCTTTGCTATACTATTCTTGTTGTGCGATGTACGTTTAGAGGGTTTTTAAGGCTAAATTCTGTCTATCTGTAGAATAACGCATAACTCTTTGATAATTTGATGCCAGAATTTCCTTTAGCAAACCATGCAAAGCACAGCTCTACGTATTAACGTCACATTATGGTTAATACGTGTATAGTATGATTTACATCTTGAGATTTAATGCTAACCTGTGCATTTCTGTGATATATTAACTATCCAACACACAATCATTTGTTTGACGATTTGGACTGATGGGAGAATTTCCTCTAATAATCCGTGTGAAATGCCAATTTACCATTATTACAGTACTACATTATTCTTATTGGATAGTAGAAGTCTAGGGGATTTTCAAGGATGAATTTTGCAGGTCTATAAACTACAGTAGTGCAAAATAATATTATTTTTTTTGACTGAATTGAGAATTTCCTTACTAAGCCTTTGCGTGGCTTTGTTTTACTGTTATTATTATTGCATTATTATTCTTATTTTGTGGTATACTTGACGTCTAGAAGATTTCAAGGTAAATTTGGTAGTTCTGTAAACTACAGTAGAGCATAGTAATATTATTTTTTTGACTGAATTGAGAATTTCCTTACTAAACCTTTGCGTGGCTTCGTTTTGCTGTTATTATTATTGCATTATTATTCATATTTTGTGATATACTTGACGTCTAGAAGATTTCAAGGTAAATTTGGCAGTTCTGTAAACTACAGTAGTGCATAATAATATTATTTTTTTGACTGAATTGAGAATTTCCTTACTAAACCTTTGCGTGGCTTCGTTTTACTGTTATTATTATTGCATTATTATTTATATTTTGTGGTATATTTGATGTCTAGAAGATTTCAAGGTAAATTTGGCAGTTCTGTAAACTACAGTAGTGCATAATAATATTTTTTTTTTTGACTGAATTGAGAATTTCCTTACTAAGCTTTTGCGTGGCTTCGTTTTACTGTTATTATTATTGCATTATTATTCATATTTTGTGGTATACTTGACGTCTAGAAGATTTCAAGGCAAATTTTACAGTTCTGTAAGCTAGTACGCAATAACATTTTTATGGATAATTTGGACTAATGTGAGAATTTCCTTCACAATCCCTGTAAATTAGTACGCAACAACTTTTTTGGGAGGGATAATTTACAGTAGATTGTGTGAGAATTTCCTTTACAATCCCTGCGAAGCTTTATTTTACCGCCATTATTCCATTATTATTATTATTGCTATTATTATTATTAATTATTATTATTGTGTGTTCTACGTCTAGAGGATTTTCAAGGGTGAATTTTGCAGTTTTATACAATAGTGCGCAATGACTTTTTTTCGGTCAATTTAACTGATATGAGAATTTCCTTAACCGATGGATGCGGGCCTTCATTTTCCTGCTTGACATGATTACATAATCATTATTGTTTATGTGTATTTTGCAGTTGTTTAAAACAGTACTGTAGGTAATCATTTTTTGGGGGGGGGGGGCACAATTTAGACTTGATACAAGCGCTTTCTCCACTTCGATCGTTGTCCGGTCATTTTAGGGCAAGAGATTTGTGTCAAGTTGATCAGTAGGTGAATATGATGAAAAACATGTTAGTCACTTGTTGTTGTCGTGGAAAATCTTCCCTTTGCCAGTTTATCTTTGATCAAGAAATGCAGACTCTCTACTTTTAATAATCCCCGATTGAGCATGTTTCCTTACTAGTTTGATTCACAGGCATTCTACTGTAGTGGAAACAAAGAAAGTCGGCATTCTCTTGTATCTTTTTGTCGCGGTCTCTATCTAGCAAGCCGATCCTTGAAAGGAAAAAGATACAAAGAAGCCGCAGTCGTTTTCTCCATGGAGGCTTGATACAGTAGACTGTACAGATACTGTTACAGTACAGTACAGCATGTTTACGTTCGCTTTAGAATTTAAGAATTCTATTTAAATGCTATTATCAATATCAAAACTGTATTGATTTTATGCCAGCATGTAGCTAATGAGCTGAAGATTCTATATTAGTTAGTAAAAGTAAATTTTGAATAACACTGAATCATTATATCTACATAAACTTATGGATTTGCTACAGAACATAGTAAAACTTGCTGCTACTGTATACTGTACTGTACAGTGTACAGGCTTGGACCACCCACTCTCTGATAGTGTACAGTACTGTACAGTACAGTGAGTACTGTACACTGAGTACTGTACACTGAGTACTGTACACTGAGTACTGTACACTGAGTACTGTACACTGAGTACTGTAGTGTACAGTGTACAGTGTACAGTACAGTACATATCATTCAGTAGGTACTGTACTCTCCTATAGTGTTCTTCTACCCTACAGTGCTTTCCACTGAGTACAGCACGGTATACTGAAAGCGATTTAATGTACTGTATTTCGGCTGTTTTGTTCTGGCAGTAGCTTGAATTTTTATTAATTAATTAATAAATAAATAATTCTGTCACTAATCTCCATCATGGCCTTGGATATTCCAATCGGATAGGAGATACAAAGATAGACATAGTTGATCAATATCGGACTGACCGCGAGATTTCAACCATTTAAAAAGCGAGAAGAAAAATAAAAGTGACAGCGAATAGCAATTCAATCAACCATCGCTCAACAATATTGTAATTCTCAAGTCCAACGGAATAGTAAAGGTCACCGATTACTTTGATGTGCATCAATTTCATAGTATACCTTCGTGTATTTATTTAGAGATGGGCTGTCAGATAGATAAGCAATGATACTATCGTCCACAGGATATATTCTTCCAGATAAGAGTAAATGGTATTAGGTATAGATCTTGAATAGACTCTATTGTGGTTCACTTGAATCGAATGTCAAGGATATTGCTAGCGACTACAATTTCATGTCTTTCTTTTATGCTGAATTGATCGAAGATACAAAATTGAATGTTGATGTACTGTGCATACTCCAATCTTACAGGGATTCATGAATTATCCAGGATCTCTCAGCTTGCCCAACTTATCAATCTCTGCAATACCTGTGTAGAATGACTTTGGCCAGTGATATCCTTTGCAAAGACTCTTCGTTTTTACCCAACTTGGACTTCAATTATTACCGATATTATTAATCAATTACCAATCCAATCAAACGAATGACACGATCAGGCTATTCTGGGTCATTACTGACCTGTCGTGTCGGCAAGACATGTGCTCATTCGTTTAAAAGAGGAAGAGTCTTTTACTTGCTGGTGCTAATTGCTTTATTATCCATATCGTTGATTATCAGCCTATACAGGAATAACAACTGCACTCCTTGCCAACATCATTTTCAAGCGGATAAATGCCAACAAAATATAGATTGTTGTTTGCGCTTAGAAGCACGTGTTAAACGATTGCGCTCGATCAAAGTAGCAATACAAAACGAAATTAAAGTACTAAGCTCAACAAGGTTCCAGTTGGATCGTGATGTTGCCGAATTGAAATTACTCAAACTTGCACGACCTAATACCAATAATGTAAATGGTCGTGATAAACGTTGCCAATGCAAAAAAGATGGTGATGTCTTGAAGAAAACTATTCAACATCAACGATCTCAAATATCGTTATTGAATGAATTACTCACCAATCTAGACCGGCCATCGTATAACAACAAGCTACAATTATTACCTTGCAAGCCTATTAAAATTGATTTAACATGGAAATCGGATGCAACCAAAGTATTACGCGACTGCAATTTACAACGATGTTTCCATTATGATCGTTGCCCGTTGACAAAAATATTCAATGCTTATATTTATCCATCTCGTTATCATGTTAATTCAGTTCTAGCCAACCAAAGTTTTCAATCCATTCCTTTCCTGACGCGTAATGCAACTGCTGCCTGCGTATACGTTGTTATTGTTAACTCGACAGCTGCGACTCGTCGTGATTTAGAAGGTTATTTACACTCATTGCCTTATTGGCATCGATATGGGAGAAATCACTTACTAGTCGATATCGGGTGGACTATACAAAAATTACTATCAATAAACACTGGATATGCTATGCTAGCCGGGTCAAATTTTGCCAACTTTGTACCTAGAATGAATTTCGATATCATAATCCCTCCCATGCAACTCTTTCCACAATATCATGGCAAATTGATCGATTCAGGACCACGTCGTCCATTTACCATCAGTAAACAACGGCAGTATTTATTACATTTTCGAGGACAGATCATTGCTAATAATTCAATTAATCTACTTTTGCGATCTCAATTAAGTAATATATCCAATATTGCTAAAGTGATGGGTAATAAAGTGGATATTCAGACCCAATGTAAAAAAGTGAACAAATTATATTATCATAAATTTGAATGGAGTTTATGCTCTGGTAATGTTGATAAGCAATTAAGAGAGTCTACCTTTAGCCTAATTATACTACATAATGGTCCTTGCATTAGTACCCTAACTCGTTTAATGCATGCGCTAGCGTCGGGCACTATTCCAATTTTTATTACCGATCACTCAATTAAGATGACACTAGTTCAAATGTTACCCTTTGCTGAATACATCGACTGGAATTTAGCGGGGATAATGCTACCTTTAACTCGGCTTCCAGAAATGACTGCAGTATTAATGGCCATTTCCAACTCGGACATCCTAAAAAAACGATCACATTGTCAATTTATTTATCATACGTATTTCAGTAACAGTGAGAATGTTTTACATGCAACTCTAGCATTGTTGCGGACAAGATTGCATCTACCTGCCTATCCTGTTGATACATTTATCCAAGACCAATTCTCTAATAGTAAATATTCTTTAAACAATGTGATCAATATCGACAAGTCTATGCCATCAATTCCTTCAACTAGTTATACGAGAAATTATTCTACTAACTTTTATAACGCATGGAATAAAGCTCCTGGGCCTTATTGGCTTTACCCTTTCACAGCTGATAATAGCTTTCTACCGACCGACTCGCAATTTAACGGATTTGGGAAAGGCTTTCAACCCATCAATAATGGTGGAACCGCAACTGGAAAAATGTTTAGTAAGCACTTGGGAGGAAATTACCCATTAGAGCAATTTACAATTATTATATTAACTCATAATCGACCCAATATTTTACGCCAACGTTTGATCAATTTGAGCCGTTTACTGTATCTTAACAAGATTATTGTAGTGTGGAATGAATACAATAAATATGCCAAGCATTTTCAGTGGCCTCATTCAGATATACCTATCTACGTAAGTAAATAAAATTACGTGTTAGCGTTATGCGAATAATAGTAGACGTCATACGATTTACCAACTTATGTATACGTATTTTTGCAGCATGTATACTAGTCTTTTATTAGTCTATGATGCTACCATGTTATAGTATATGCTTCTGTAGTATACGTACTTGCTTTTGGACGTAAATTGTATAGCCCATAGCATTTATCTCAAAGCTATGCTTAATACCTGTATCGTTAAAGTAAACTATATGACTTACTTACTATTGGTATGATTTGTTCTTGCTGCAATTACCTTCCTAATTTAGGTCTTCAAATCCAAGAGAAATAGCTTAAATGATCGATTTTTTCCATTTAATGCTGTTGAAACGGAAGCTGTCCTGTCACTAGATGATGATGTCGATCTCAATGCAGATGAAATTGACTTTGCATTTCGGTTAGAATTGTAGACGAATAAGATATTAAAATAAGAATTGTATTCCCTTTGATAATTGTAATACATGAGAAAGGTGTCCAAACTACTGTATTTCCTTACTAATTGTATTTATTTACGATTTTAGTAGAGTTTTTACTATCTCTAATAAACTGTTTCTATTTGAAAGTGTATGGCGAGAGTCAAGAGATAGAATTGTCGGCTTTCCGGCTAGACATCACACCTGGAGTAAGCTAACTAATAGATGGTCTTATGATTCTAATAAAACTTGCCAATTATCTATGGTGTTGACTGGTGCTGCCTTTATACATAAGGTTAGAGGACATAAACAAATTTATAAACAAACTAGTTAATCTCAATCTTCTCTTACCTATACTTCCTGTACAATGTTTGTAAAAATGGAAAATATAATTTCTATGAAACTAGTATTACCTGTTCCTGTATACGTTCACAATGCCAGAAGGTATTCGAAGGAGAGTAGATGAAATTATGAATTGTGAAGACATAGCTATGAATTTTTTAATTTCTCACATCACGGGCAAACCTCCAATTAAGGTAACATAACGCAATGATGCGTATACTAGACGCAGATCAATTTGATTGGTATAGAGGTATTTGGAATAGTATTCTTTCCCGATATAGTGTGCCGAGTATTTTATTTAGAGAAGAAATATACCGTTTTGATGAGAATCATAGAAAGCTTCTGGAGTGATTCTACTCGAGATTATATTGATCATTTTTATTTTGCATCAATAGGTAACTTCTCGTTGGAATTTTAACTGCCCAACTTGTGAAACCACCTTGACCCGAGATGTCAATCATTTTAAGAAACGAAACTCTTGTGTAAACTATTTCGCACAAATTTACGGTTATATGCCTCTGATATTTTCGCAATTTCGAGTTGATTCTATTTTATATAGAACTCGAGTTCCTAATGGTGAACAAAAATGTTATGAATCCCAGTTATGATTTACCGATCTAGTAGTATAATAATGTAATTAATTTCCTTTGATCAATGATGCCTTGATAAACAATCAAATGAAAAATTCGATGAATTTGAACTTAAATGATCTTAAAACAAAGGCTATGAAATTTTGTCTTTCCTCTGTCTCAATTTAATTGCTATTTATCACTTCTGTTATGCATCCTATACCTAATATTCACGCAATACGTGTGGTTAAAATTATTCTTGTTGCGTAACTGTTTAAGTATACGCGTAAGAAATTTATATTTCATATTCATCATTGCGTGTGTTACAATAATTTCAGAAATTATTGAAGGTATGTATGTATACTATTGTACAGTGTATGCTTATGTGATGATTATAGTAAATCATTGTCAATATCACAATTTTCCTATTGGATGTAGTACTTGGTAAGATGGAATAGAGTAGGCCAGATTACGTATGATATCTAGACAGCATGAGAGTTTCAATTACATTGCTGTAGTCCATCAAATACCGTAGTTGTCGATGGCGGTGATTTTCAATTGCTAAACGCTTTCTTGCTTTTACAGTTTATCCAATGCTTATTCATTTTGGTAGTGGTAATTTGCTAGTATGTTTTGTTCATTTTTGAATATCTTGTAACCCACTACATGCATAGTAGTCATTGGGTCTGTAAAACGCATAGAATGATGTCATGTCCAATTAATTTTTGGCCTCGACTGTGATAGACAGATGCGTAGAAACCTATGCAGTACTGTAAGATCTCGCTTACTTCACTGAAGTATTTATAATTAGAGTATTACTTAACGAGTTCATACTGAAGGAATTTTCAAAATGGCGCGGCACTACAAGTACAAAGTCTATAGGAAAGTCTCTCATTGTGAAGGCTACACAGAGGCGTATATCACCATGGACTACTAGATGCATTCGATGGTATATCTAGTAGTCCCGATACACTGTCAAAGTGAACCTTCAACAGTGTTACCTACCGGACATACGCATATAAAACTGAAATATATTTCCATTTATGCTGTCTACTGGCGTATGCAAGTAGTATCGGTGTACTTGAAAAATCCCTCATGTAGCTCAGTATCGTACAGTACAGTCTTATTGAACTGAAATACAAGTATCGTATTCTACTTTGTAAACAAGCATGGCTTAGACTAATCATTTAATTAACAGTAGTTTTCAAGAGTCAAATTTCTATCCTCTGCTGATACTGGAAGCTGTTCGATTGTACGTATAGCTATGAAGTTATGGACAAGAGAAAAATGACGTTTTTCCCCCGTAGTCCACTAGTCCATGACGATCCTGTTTCATGGTCTGCGGGCCTGTGAAGTGAAAGCATACACTGCTACAGTATACTTCATATTAGATAGCTGTACAGTAGAGCGAATCTGCGATCAGTTACGAAATGCTATCTTCTATTAAGTAGCTTGTGCAAGAGAAGTTGCTTGCTGATTCTTTTTTTTTGTTGTAAAGAAGAAATTATCCATCCTCTCTATTTGAAAAAAGTTCAAAGAGCGAGTACGAACTCGTTGACCCATTAATACTGTCAGTGCGTAGAGTGGAATCTCTTCGAGCAAACGATTCTCGTTTTTTACAGCTCTAGTCGTAGTCTATGTATTGTACATTAGAGACCGTCAATTTTGGGGTTATTCATGTCTTTGTACACTGTATTCTACACTAGGTCATTTAGGATTGATCGCAATTACTGCAATACTTTGTTCACATTGCTTTGTAGATTTATGGAAGTCTTCTCCAAGCTGTTGATGCTTCCATTAAGCCACATTAATTTCGATTGAAATCCAGCTTAATGAGCCACCGTACTATACAGTCTATAGAGTTCTTAAATTAATTAATTTAGTATAGTAAGTGCACGAATGACGCACACGCAAGCCACCCAAAATATCCAGACCATCCAAAAGTGGTGATGTGACCATGACAATACGGTACGGTACGATACGGTACGGTACAGTACTGGTCAGAAACTAGACACCGTTACTGACTTTCTATTGTCCTGTAAGCAAGGTGACTGGCGCACCGAGTGTCTCCATATCGAGGCAGTGTCAACGAGTGATCGAACTGAGTCTGCTCTTTGCAGTTTTGCCTCTAATTTTTACAGTGTACAGTGCAGTCCTGTTCTTTTGTAACATATCACTGTACGGAGTGTACTGTACTGTACAGTACAGTACGGTACTGTACTGTATACTGTACTGTACCGAACCGTACCGGACCAGACTGTACACGGGCTGGATATTTTACGGCTGCTGACATCAGCCCACCACCTACCAACTTCTGCCTCCTACCTGAGGGCTGAGGTTGCTTTCTTCCACGATTCGCGTATTGACCTTGCGATAATCGCCTTGGTAGCAGTGGGGTAGATGGTGGAATTTGAATGCATTGGACGAGTTTTTTGACTTTATTAGCAGACTCTATTCCATGTAATCCTTAGTGTAGTTCGCCTAGCTTAGTCCATTGGTATTTACTTCTCTACCTATCTTGAATTAGATCGTTATTGAAGGATAGGAGGAAAAGTCCACTCTTCAAGGACAGTCCTTTTCTGAATTTCCTCATCAACTGCACCGATCATCTCAGACGCGTATTCAATTTGTCCATTAGCTGTACATTATCAAGTCCATCATGAAACGGAGAATCTTGTTATTTAGTGCAGGAGTTTTTCTTGTCATGTTCTTTACTATGCATATGGTTGTCGATCAAATGGCTCAGCCCGACACTGACAACACGATCGATGAAACAAAGGTAAGGTGTTGCTTTTGATGTCAGTCGTTACATCAAGAACTGGATAGTAATTTGTTCTTTCCGCTTGATGCCTAACCTAGTGCATAATATATCATCATCATCGATACACGATAGATGGATACGCTACTGTTGGTGTCGACAGATGAGTCGATCGATATTCATCAATTTTGACGAATCTTACTCTCCATATTTGGATAACTTGTACTAACTTAGCTGTCTTTTTGCCAAAACTACACATGCTGTCTGTAGAAGTCAATGTAAGCATGATAAGATAGAAAAGAAGAATATCCAGTAGTCATCAGTTTAGCTGCAACGCTATCCAGATTTAAGAAATATACGATTAGCTGGTAGAGATGAAACTGTAATTTCTGCTACAACTTGACATTGCAAACGATCCTATTCTACGGTACCTAATTGCATTATCAATGTCCAATTGTTTACATATATATATATATATACATAACATACATATCGCCTACAGAGCTAAGGGTAAAGTTATCATGGTAGTGAAATGAATTATCAACGAGAAAAGTGAAATGGCTTTTGATAGTAAACAGCATTCTGCATCAATACATTCAACCATAGTAGTAATAGAACTAGATCATTTTAGAAGATTATTGCTGGATAGTTAATAATCTACGAAAAAGGTTCAAGCGCTATAAACAATAAATATCAATACTGACTCAACCGTAGCTGTAACACAACTATTATATATCATTGTATAAGATTGATGCCATTTTCTTACTAAAAGATCCTATGTTAACGATCATCAATCATTATAATATCTCTTAAAATGAACTAAAAATAATACCTAATAATTGTTATTTTGAAAAAGCTACAGCTTAAAATTAATACTGTAATGCATAGCAGTGCTGTAGTGACCGAATGTAATTTGTCATTACAGCAGGCTATCATAATAAGACAGTATAGAACTATTGCTTACAAATGATATATTGGGCATTGGATCGGTCTGCTACCGTAGTATAAATTTAGCAACTTATTATGTACATGCATAATTATTTAAAGAATATCTTAGATATCTATTGTAATAATTAATAACTTCATTGAGTTATTTGCAATCGTAATGGAGATCAAGACAAAATTCTAGGCGCCTAATTCAATACAAGGGAAGAGATGAAAGGAGATTAAAATAGGCCTATATCATCATTCTATCATGTCATATTAAGTCTAGATAAACCGGAAAAATTACCTTTAGCTTGCACGATAAATGCTGAAATGACGTAATATGATCGATTTTAAGATAATCTAGACAAATTACAACGTATGTATATAATTGCATCAACAATTCACTATACAAAGGGTATACGATCATAATTTTTATATTATAGAACAGTCCATTAGGTTATGTAACATTGATAAGTATGAATTAAGTTACTTAAGAAGTAACAATTACTAATGTTTTGTATCTTTTTCCATTTACATACACGCTGTATAGAAAAAGCTCGTAAAATTAAATGAAGAGATCGACCAGTTAAAGAGTTCATTAACGAAAACTCAAAATGCGCTAGTGCCTGGACTAGACAATACCAACTATAAGTCTAAAGCATTAGTATCGGTTGACTCAACTGGTTGCGGTTTTGCACAGTCTGAAGCTGGTCTTTCAGCCGATATCAGGGTAATAGAGCAATCAAAAAACTAGATGACCAATGTAAAATTAATTGCGCAATCTTAGAAAGTAGCTATATTCCTCTTTTAATATATGCATACTTCATCGCTAATAGCTGATAGTTAATACGAGAAATATAACTAACTCAAAATTGTCGCATAGGTCAAAAAAATAATTTGCTATATAAGAATTTTACAATAAACTAAAATTTACAAATTACATAATTTCTACGTTATATTCTATCCGTACAAAAGATAGACCAGATTATTATACTGAATGTACTAGATTCTATCATGTCTATTTTTGCAAATAATATTTGATACTTCCGCTCTTACGTCTAACGAATATATTAGCAATTAATTATCTTACAATTCACTTATTTAAATTGTAGCTCTGTACTTCTAACCTGGTGTGTTATTGATATCTGCATATCATTATTTGTGAATCACCCGATTTTAGACAAATGTAAAGTTAACATTCAATGTATTTTAAGAATACTAATGTTTCAACATTGATTCGTTTCAACAGATGCTAGACATTTACAAAATCATACCATTTGACAATCCAGATGGTGGCGCCTGGAAACAAGGCTGGGATATTAGTGTTCCATCTGGAGCATTTGATAACGAAATTCTACAAGTATTTGTTGTACCACATTCTCATAATGATCCAGGTAAGATTATATACCATTTTGTCAACACTTTCCTCTCGAAAGTATTCAATGACTATACTAAAAACAATTTTAAGTATACTACATTCATTTCAATTTACCAAGTACAGTATATCTACCTTCCGAATCGATAAATACAATTTAGTTCCTAGTACGGCCAAAAAGCAGCAATCTAATAGAACGGTGGTCAGGCTCTTGATCTTCAATGTATGAATCAATGGCTAAAAATAATACATATCCATTGTATGAAACAGGTTGGATCAAGACCTTCCAACGATATTATATGGATCAATCTAAACACATTATCAGCAATGTTGTTGCAAATTTAATTGGCAATCCAAATAGAAAGTTTATCTGGGCAGAAATATCATTTTTATCGCTATGGTGGAACGATGCTAGTAGTAGTCAACGAGAATCCTTCAAGAGGTACAGCTCATTTATTTTATCGCTTAATGATTAATTTTTGTATTATATAACGTTACAAGAACATTTATAAATATAGTTGACACTCTGTCGTTTCCATATTTTATTTTAACGGATACAAGGTTAGTAAAAAATGGACAATTGGAAATTGTTACTGGAGGATGGGTCATGAACGATGAAGCAAATACCAACTATTATGCAATGATCGATCAAATGATTGAAGGTCATGAATGGGTACGGCTTAATATTGGTATCAAACCTCGCGTTAGCTGGTCAATTGATCCCTTTGGATATACGCCAACCATGGCTTATTTATTGAAACGGATGGGAATGGATGCAATGTTAATTCAGCGTGTTCACTACTCTGTTAAGAAATATTTAGCGCAAAAGAAACAGTTAGAATTTATGTGGCGCCAAAACTGGGGTAAGTTGAATAACTTGATCAATTTTACAATTAACAACACCGCCCTTTCAGATCCTTATTTTTATTTGTTTAATTTTGTTAACTGTTAGATCATGGAACCGATACCGATATTCTTTGCCATGTTATGCCGTTCTATAGCTATGACATACCGCATACTTGCGGCCCAGACCCAGCGGTTAGTTCATACTCCACTCTGCAAGATATTAATAATGATTCTACAGTACGTACTACTTAACATTTTTCTAAAATTTGATTTACTATTTGTAATGTCGATAGGTTTGTTGTCAGTTCGATTTCCAACGATTACCAGGAGGAGGCATTTGGTGTCCCTGGAATATTCCACCACAACCTATAAGTCCTAGAAATGTTCAGCAAAGGTAGTCTACTACCGCTATTGCATATAAATTACTATTTGAAATAAAATACGTGTATTACTGTTAATTTTTTTAACTAATTATATCTACGCGTATTGCTGAATCATCGTATTGTGTAGAGCAATGATGCTACTGGAACAATATCGAAAGAAGTCACGATTATACCGCTCGAACGTAGTTCTCGCCCCACTTGGAGATGATTTTAGATACGCTGACCCACAGGAACCAGTTCGACAGTTTACAAATTATGAAGTGCGTTTAAATTTTAAGATAAATGGCCAGTTTCAATTAAATTCCCTCGTGTGTTAGTAACAGTACCGAACTTTTTATCTTAGAAATTATTCCAGTATTTAAACTCTAAACCAGAATTAAAGGTCAAGGTATGTGTATGCACCAATTCATTAAGTAACCTTGATACTGGAACGTTTATATCTATTCTTAGCATCCTTGTTGCTTTCTTATATAGATTCAGTTTGGAACATTATCCGATTACTTTAATGCGCTGCTAAAAACAACGGGTAAGATAGTATTTACAATATTGTAAAACACTGTAATTGAGTCTTACGTGACTTAAATGGCTAGCCTTAAAATAGATGAAATTTCTTTACGTAGGCAAAAACGACGACGGCTCTCCGAAAGGATATCCCAAGCTTGGTGGCGACTTTATGACATATGCTGATCGGTTAGTTGATACGAAATTGAAAAAGCTTACTCTCACCGAAATATTGATAGATTTGTATCTTATTAAACATTTTAAAAATCATAGTGATGAGCACTATTGGAGCGGATACTATACATCTCGTCCGTTTTATAAGAACTTAGATCGAGTGCTCGAGACAAAACATCGGTGAGTAATCCTCGGCGAAATTACTTTGCAGACTAGTGATATATAGCTGAAATAGTGTGGTGTTGCCTTTACACAATATCATTAATTAAAATTTATTTTTATGTGTTCTTTTAGGGCCGCGGAAATTGCTTACAGTATTGCATCGAGAATAGCAAATCAAGAAAAGATTGCAAAATTTGCTACTAATCAATTTAATTTACTGGTAAAAAGTCGAAGGAATCTAGGTCTTTTCCAACACCATGACGGGATTACAGGAACAGCGAAAGATCATGTTGTTGTTGATTATGGCAACAGGTACCTTAATTTACGAATATTAGACTATTTGAATTCAGTTAATATTTACTACCTATATTATATCCGATAACTTCCAGGTTGGTACAATCAGTTGGTAACATGCAAAATGTAATAGCTAGCGCTGCTAAACTGTTGATGCTTAAGCACAAAGAATCCTATTCTTCGGACGAAATACGTTTCGATATGGTAAAAATTTGCGTATACTCTAATAGCATTATTCTTTATAAATTGAGATAATGGAGTAAGAGATAAATTGGCTTGGTGTATGGGATTCTGCCAGGTCTACGTGTATCTACATTAACTTTTAATTGATTAATGCTGATAGGATGAATCAAGAGCTTCTCACGATTCCTTGCCCGAAAAGCGTTTACTAAGTATAAGCAATACTCGGGTTGTAGTGTTTTACAATTCACTCGCCCAGAAGCGTAAAGAGCTGGTTTCGGTACACGTATCCGTACCAAATGTTAAGGTATTTCGGTGATGTTATAATAGGATCCTGTTTATCCGATTATGACTACGATAAAATCGGTTTCTTCGGATCTCGCATTATACCAAGTATATACGTTACTTTGCCATTTAAGACGGTACAGTATAACGTCTTACTATTTTCTCTTGCATTTTAACATTATTGATAGGTACTTGATGCAGATGGTAATAGCATTAAGTGTCAAGTTAACCTTCAATGGAAAAATAAAAATTCTCCTCGTGATAACAAGTTTGAGGTACTGTGGGACTTTATTGAATAGTTTTCCTTGAATAAACTGATATAATCTGGTGTTAATCTTTAGTAATGTATAATCGTTGGCTATAGGTACTATTTCCAATTGAAGTTCTAGGCCTAGGCTTTAGCAGAGTTACTATACAAAAAACAGATGGTTCATCAGATGGTTGTAAACCTTCGAAAACCTCTATTTACCATCATAAAGTTAAAAATGACTTAGTAAAAGGGTAATCAATAACACAGTGACTATAAAATCTTTGCATTAACATAAGACTCACAAATGCAGCTGTAGATACAGATAGGTACTATATTTAATCTTTATTAGCTTTGATGTTCGGAACGCTGATTGTGGGAAGCAATATATAACCATGGAAAATCAATTTATAGTAGCCGATTTTGACAGATGCACTGGCTTACTGCAGGTATAGCGACATGCAATAGATTTTAGAGTATAAGATTCACTTGCTTAATCATTAAAAGCATGATAAAGTATCATCTATTTTAATCATTAGAACATAGCAGATAAATCAACAGGAATTAAACGAACTGCTGAGCTACGATTCCTCCAGTATATGACCGTTTCAAGCGGTGCTTATCTATTTCTACCAAGTGGGACAGCAAAGGTTAATATGGAAAATAAACCTAATTACCTTAATTTTATTTTAATATTACTTTTATCGAGAATTCTATCAACAGCTGTATAATTCATTCCTTGGGTAATCCATTTAATCAATTAGGAAGTGCTTATTCAAAAACCATTTTTCCGCCATATTTCTGGCATTTTGGTAAAATATCTATTACTATTGCAAAATATATATATATCTTCTTTATAGAGCTAACATTACTACGTATATTAACTATTTTAATACTTTTTTTGTCTAGCGGGATGAAATACAAGCTTTTTACCCAAATGTTTATCATAATATAAAGCTAGCCAATACGAATGGTAATTCAGGATATTCTAGCTACGGTATCTATGAAAGATTTTTTGCTAATACCAAGATAAACTTTTGGTTTGTTAATTAAATAAAAGGAATCGACAGTAGAAGCTTACACATTCATAATCTTGTGGATATCAGGGACACTAGTAATCGGGTATGCATTGAAATTGATAATACGGTATTGACAGTCAATACTAAACTGTTTAAAATTCAATTACTGCATTTAATATTTTCCTACTAGGAATTAATTATGCGGATATCTACCAACATACGTAATACAAACAGAGAATACTTTACCGATCTAAACGGATTCCAGGTACTTCACCCTTACATCTTACATATTATCTTTTCATTCCATTAGAATACTGATGAAATGTGAAGTTAGGTTTTTATTGTAAATCATTATTTGTAGCGATTGATAACATATCGAAGTAAATGTCATAAGTTTACAGACAGCATTAATTAATTTATTCATTAGATGCAACGTCGTCGCACTCTTGATAAAATTCCTTTACAAGCTAATTATTATCCAATGCCGAGTATGGCTTTTCTTCAAGATCCTAAACTTAGGATGACTCTACATACTATGCAAGCATGTGGTGTCGCCAGTTTAAAACAGGGTCAGTTTTATCATGCTCTATATGAACTCGCTGCATGATATTTAATATATAAAAACAAATTAAAGTATTCGTCCTGTTTACTTAGTTTGTCTAAAAGGTTTACTGATGGAATCTTTACAGGTGAATTTGAAGTTATGTTGGATCGTAGGTTAGGTCAAGATGACAATCGTGGCTTAGGGCAAGGAGTTCGCGATAACAAGCAGACTCCTTATCACTTTGCACTATTACTAGAAAATTTGACTAAAAAACAGGTAATTCGTACATTGAATCAAATTAATCATTGCTATGCTTAATAACGTGTAAATCGAATTTTACGGCTTACCCGGTGTGGTTTCATTAATATCCATTTTATAAATTGCAATTAATTAATCAAGACTATGGTCAAGTCTAAGATCCCAATTGCATATCCTTCTTTGGTTGGTCATGCTGTTTCTCAGACTGTCAATCATCCTATTAACATCATGTTTGGAACTTCTGAAGTAATTCCTGATAGCTTACTTAAACAGTACTCACCGTTGAAATCCGGAAGTTTCCCATGCGATTTGCACTTAGTGACAGCGAGAACCGTACAAGGAGAGGGAGATTCTAAACCTACTGACGAAACAGCTGTAGTATTACATCGATATGGATATGATTGTGGATACGGTATGACACCTTTGCTTTGTTTCCCACTAGGAAGTAAGGTTAGTACTAAAAGCATCAGGAAACGATTGGTTCTTCTTTTCAAGCTACGATCACTATTCTTGTGTTGAGCAGTTATACTCACTTTTTGACTTAATAATTCGTAGATCGAATTCAAAAGTCTATGGAATCTTGGTGTACGTAATTTTAAGGAAACATCATTAACAATGATGCATGACGGAAACGAACGAGGAGGCGAAGAGTCGATAGATTTAACCTTGCAACCTATGGAATTATATACTTATAAAGTCAAATTTAGCGGATAAAATGTTTGCATTTGTTTCAATTTTATCAGTACGTATATAGTGAAAACTTTTATCCATAGTTGGTTAACAGATAGAACGTATCGTTCCAAGTAGATTTATGCTACACAATAGTACGTATTAAAAATTTGCGCATTAATTTACTAGATATTTAGACTACTTTTAAATGATTTGAAAATTATTATAATAATTTGGCACCGATGATCATTTACAAGGTAGATAGTAAGTTTTAGCTTCTAAAAATAGAAGAAAGAAATCTGAACGACAAAATCCGTCTTGGACAATATTGAACTGTACAATGCAATTCTAATTAAGTAATTAACATTGACATTTTTTAAAATTTGGTATGTAATTATACTTATGTAGCACGATCAGCGACGTATTTGTTTCACTCTTATAGAATAATATAAAATAAAATAATTCGATATTAATGTCCAGATTAAAATTAACATAATCAAAGCACACATTTGTAATTTGTCTTGAGTTGTTGCCAATTGCGATACGTATTTAGATTTTAAATTTACAACAGCATGATCTATGAGGTAGAGTTCACTGGCTAAATTAGAACTGCCAACCTAGAACTTTTTTTATAAAGGAATACCTTATTATGGGTGTACAATACTCGAACTTAGTACGTGATTTGAAATCTAGATCGTAAACTCAGTTTTATAGCAATCGGATCGGGAGATGCTACCATAGGCGTTGTCATATTCAGTCCTATATAATGTACACACTTTAATGATATTTACTTGATTGCCTCCTTTATTTTAAGTAGGTTATTCACAAAGACACTCAGTAATGTCCTTTAACTGATTAATTATTAAAATTATTACAAATTAGTTCTACAGTATAATGTTGTTTTAATTAGTAATTTTGGGATCATTTTGTCAATCTTTTACCTTCTCTCTCTCTATATGCATATATATTACCGCTAAATATAGGTAATATTCAAGTTATAGTTTCGCAACAATGCTATAGTATGAGAAGGAAGCAACTGCGCTAACCATCTTACTAAACGCTATACCATATGCCGTGTACCGTACAGTAGAACATTACCGTACGCCATCAAGGTCAGGCCCTGCAGTACTCTATACCAAGGCTTAAACTCTAATCCCGCATTTCCAAGCCTACAGTATTGAGCAGCATCATGCTTAAGCTGGCGAAGAAATGGCGCCTGCACCAACAGCTTCCAGGATCATCATCTTGGCATCGTAGCGTTATCGTTATGTTGACTGGATCATCCATAGCAATCCTCAGTGGGCATTCATGAGGTATTCTTTCAATGACATGTTATGTAGTATTTTAAGCTGTATGTTGCTTGCTTTAGCCATTAGTTTGTAATTTTTGACTAGTTTCAATTGCAAAAGTCATCATGATGAGTTCAAAGGGATTCTTGACTTGTTAGGTCATTATTGGCAATGTTACTTACATTTTTAGCTACAGAGTTTCGTCGTAAAGACAGTAAAGACAATCTCTATCTCTTTATTGTATTGATCTTTCTCAATTTCTTGCACTATAAATCAAATACGTCAGGCTGGCAATACAGTTTTACTATATGCGAATAGATCAGTCGATAAAAGTGATCAAGACGGTACCGTTTTTCGAACTAAAACTTACCCATTTTCCCAATTTTATTCATGATAAAATTTCATATTGCGAATATTCTCCTTTACTCACAGACAAACAATACTCGTACATCTATATACACTAGTTATGTAGGATTATGGGTTGATAGAAACTTTCTTCAATTAATTAATTTACGTTGAGAGACGCTGATGCATGATATTGATAAACTCTGTAGAGTTCGTTTATAATATGATATGAGAGATGTAGTAAGCCCCAGTAATTGTTACATTAGTACAACCGTGGCAAGGCATTATTGCACTAAAATTAAGTTATATTTTCTAGCTTAAAGGTCAAAATTTCTTTAGATTGACTGACTGAAAAAGTTCGAGTCCAGTAAAGGTTTAACGTTCTATCCAAAGCACCATTATGATGATACGCACTGGGTTATGAAAATAACATGATTCCAATTAATCAAAAATTGAATCTGAATGGATGCTTTAATTGTAGAACTGAAACTCTTATCGAGCAATACAGCTACATACTGTACTGTACTCTGCATTAAATGAATGCTGAGGATATTACAAATTATATAAAACGAGTAGGTTGCTTAAATTTTTGAAGTTACTGTTATGGCTCGAGCGGCGTTCCAACTCTAACAACAGAAAATCGACCAACGAATGTAACTGATCTGTAGTTCACTTAAAAAGAAAATTTTTAACGCTGACTGTCGTTAATACGCGTATAGCATCGGAAGCTGTGCATTTTCGATGTAAATTACTCCACCTAATAATAAATTAATGAAATAAATAATTGGTATGACAGTCTAGAGACAAACTGCATCAGTTTACTGACAGGAAAAAGTTGTGTTTCAGTATTATCTTGACTATTTGCATCTGAAATTCTTGTTTTACCATTGCATTATGTAGGCCCACTACAGGTCTTACTGTCGTTATTTCATATTTTGGATGACAGTGACGGCTGAAAGCTATGGTGACTTAAGCCACCACTTTTTGGGGATAGATTTGTAATTGCTTCGCAACTGATAGTGTGGTAAGTACTTTTTATTGATAGTAGATTACAAATGTAGATATAATCATACACCAACAACAGTTTGGGACATAAATTTATGAACTGAACGGTGAATGATGCATAATTTGGATATGATTGCAGAAATGTGATATAATACATTTTATGCTCTAGATAGTATCTGACACCACCAGCATAACATTTTTGATAAAATTTTTAATACTAGTAGCTATGTAACGTATCAGTAGCAATGTGTATACATTTGGTTACAGGGAAATTAATAAAATAGCGCTATTTTTGTAACTTCCCTTTAATTAATTGAGCGTAGTTATTATCAGGAAAGGATTATAACTTGAACATATCTACTATTACATTCTGAAATTGCTAGGTATCCATCAAGGCGATTGCGCCCTTTCTTGGCTTAGATGTATGCCGCGTTACAATTAAAGGTACGAGAGATGAGGATATTTATTCTATATATATGGTGGAATCTACATGAATAGTATTACTAAACTGACACAAGACAAAAATTATCGTAGAGCAACAACACTATTTATCTACAGTACTAGTACATTATTAACTACAGTACACTATAACTGTAAGAGCCTAAACGGTAGCTACACTAATTAAAAATAATTATTAAATTACGACTGCATTTGTAAATATATTCTATGATAGTGAAAGAACTAGATTGACTTACTGATTGAGGAATCTGTTCGGCTATACGAAGACATTTTGTCAATAGATAGTTGTTATAGTTAATTTCCAACAACTTTGTATGTTTTGGCAATAATTACGTTAAAATCCTGTACCTTGCGATGCAGGTGATGTGCACTATCCAACTGCTGGATGAATATACTTTTCTATGATCAGAACATATATCTAAATCTGATGCATCAAGTTTAGTGCTTAGCCGAATACGCCATAACTTTAACATTGTTACTTAATTATAATTGTCAGATCTGGAGGAAATAATGAGTGCTAATGTCTTTAATTTCGTGATTTAGATTATCAGTCACTCATGTCAGAAGTATGGAACAAAGTGGACTAGGCTTGCGCTTGTTTATATACTATACAGTACATGATCATTTACTGATTGGTCTATAAGGTTGTCGATATTGCGTATTTACTGTATTTCTTTAATGCACATCTGATATCGATGTATATTAATCTCATATTACACGGCACCGTTCCGTATTGTATGGCATACGTATACGCAATTTCGTACTAAATGATCTCAGGTTACTAGCACCGAATAAATTTACAATATCTACGATCTATCTTTGCAACTGCAGTAATACACATTCTAATGTCTGATTGATCATCTGGATTCGAACCGAACTTCTGTAACTAGCCAATGCAGATACCAGTCAATTCCAGAGGGAAATCTTTAGAAAGTACAGTATGTAAAAAATACACACGTGCATGTACAGTATACGAACTATTACATACAATGCTTAGGTTAGTCACTTAACAGCCCGACGTCGACTATAGCTAACAGGATATCATAGCTGTCGTTCTGTTAGATCTCAGTATCTAAGGTAATTGTACCCATTCACCCGCTAGGAGTACATATATACTGTAAGTATATATATATATGCAGATTAATGATATATCGAAACTCGCAAGCGTAGGTGACTTACAATCGAAGACAAATAAAACGTCCGAAGTTTTAATGTGCCCTTAAGAAATGACAATAGCAGTACGACACAGTATTATAATTAGTGAAGGCGTATTTTAGTACTGCTACAGCAATTCTTTTTACAATCAGCATCCAATTAAGGACGATCACACGTTTTGACAGTTCAAGCTGCTAACTATAACATTGCGCATCACTTGACTGCAAGTTAAAGATCTCCTGGAATGGAAAGTCTTACAGATTGATTTGTAAAGGAATACGATATTGCATCACTCTCAACAGACAGTACTGCACCACAAAACTAGAAAAAGAAGCAGTATCAATTAACTACTAACAGGATTACATTACTTACAAACAAGCATTCAAATTTTAATTCATGTCTACAATTCTAGTCTTGTACTACAACAAGAGCACAGTTAATGTTGAGCCGCACTTTCAACGTCTTTAAGCTTGCAGGTAGTTACGAGTGAAAGTAACAGGACAAAGAAAGTCATAAATCGCCAGTAGTAATCTATATTACAATGCAAAGGGAAGGTACTATAGCAATAGGGCCATACGATATGAAATTTTATTAGTTTACTGCAATACTGAAAATTGTATCATGTGATAAGGATGACTAAGAATTTTGCATTTCATAAAAGAGCAAAGAGATATTTTGATTACCATATTACCATTAACTCTTCCCAATTAACACTACTTATCATAAAATCGACTTTACTAATTACATCTTGATGTAAGTTTCCTAATCTTCGTAATCCTCTTTATCGCCTAC